CCCCATTTTTTTGTGGTTTTAATGTAGAATCCCTGTTTTTGCTTGCTTCATTTCATATCTACAATTCCTATCAACATCATCTACTCCAATTGCTAATTTCATCGTACATGCAATTTCTCGCACAACTTAACATGATCTTTGAGTTGATTATAGCAGTTTGAATTAGCTTTTGTTTTCTATTTTTCTGTCATTTATGCTCGCTTTGCCTTTAGGAGCTTTTGCTTGTTTGCTCTGAATTATTCTGTATCTTCAAGGCGATTTTAAGTGGATTTTGTAGATACCCCCTTGGGACATTTTGCATTAATACTTTGACTGGAAAATTTGCAGCCGAGAGTATGTGCTGCTTCACGAGAATTCAGCATGATGAGTCTCTAAAATGGTTGACGGAGGTGTCATTTGCATTGATTGGCTTTGACGTCAGAAGCTTTATCAGATCAAATATTTGCTGTGCCATGTTACTAGCAGGATAGCCGTTGTAAGTGCTTAGCCGAAATCGTGTAATGTGGTAGAGATTTGGGCATTGCTTGCAAAGTTTTTCACTGCTAATGAAAATTTTGGTTTATGCATCAGTGATTTATCCTCCAGTTTGTTTATAAGCTCTTTGTCCCCTATATATGGGATATGTTATTGTTGATTAGGTCTTAACTTGTGAATGTGCGCACATTTCTTCTAATTATTGAATGTTTCTCTGTGTCTTCTTCCATTTCTTTGTTATAGCAATTGAATCTGATGAATTTGGGTAGTCGATTAATTTGATCTATCGTAAAAATGGCATATTTTAGTCTCTTTTTCTTCTTCTGATATCAACCAGTAAACAGCTAATTTGGAGGTGAAACGCTTTCTACCGAAGACAAATCCCATTCCCCGGGCAGGAATCAGAATATATCCATTTTATTTGACTTTTTGCTTTAGGGTTTGACTATTTTTGATTTATGCCGAAAAGTTTCGCTTTGGAGGTAAAACGCTTTCTATCGAAAACAATCCCATTCTCCGGGCTGGAATCAGAATACATCCATTTTATTTGACTTTTTATGGAACTTGTCTGAAATTCTTCATGGTTACAGCTCCATGTCTTTAAGAAGGAATAGACACCCAAAACGTGGAAGTTCTTGATTGGTAGAAAGCTCAATGTTGCTGAAAGGGATACAAAAATTTTGCAGCCTGGTTTAAAATAATCATTTTGCCTTGTTAGTTATTACTGTTTAAATATGAATTTCATTAAACTTTTCTTTGTGTTTTTCTAGGATATTACCTTCAATCTTTCAACCCCAACAAATATGTATCCACAACTAGTATGGAAAAAAGGGAAGAATTTCCGCAAGTAAAAATTAAGTATTCACTATTTCTTTCCATTTTTCTATCTTGTTTTTTCTCCCTTGATTTTTTCTAGGCAAAGACAGGGATTTTGGTTGAGGATGAGATCACTATTTACAATGGTATTTGGAATGATAGAGATGAAAGATAAGTTCTATAAAACCGGCAACGTTACATGTTAGTGAATGGTATAAGAAACAGTCGAGGTGAAAGGTAAACTCTATAGAGCTTTAAATTCATTAGGTAAATTCTGAATTTCTAGAAGTCAATAATGGGCTCACCAATGGTGAGATTTCTTTGGACAGTCCAAGGCAAGTTAAAGAGCTTGGCCATAATGAATTTGAAGATCTTATTCACATTGATATTATGAGTTGCACTTGAGAAGAAGAGAGTTGCTTTCATTGCCTTTGCATATGCCCTTGCCTGCAAATTAACACCATTTAAGTTTCTTAATAAACGTTCCGAAATTTAGAATACCATAAACTTCATTCATAAATAGTTACTACATGCTAAACTACACTTGTAATCAAAGGCGAAGGCAAAAATTATTTTAGGTCATAGGTTCAAATGTTAAGTGTGACGTTCCAATATTTTTTTGAATTCCCTTATATGATTGCTTGAGAAGGGAGCCTTGCAGCAACGGTAAAGTTGTCTCTGTTTTGACTTATATGTCGGGGTTTAAGCTGTGAAACAACCACTATTGCTTGCATCAGGGTAAACTGCTTACATCAAGATAGACCGCTCACATCACACCCCTTTGGATCCGATCTTTCCAAGAACCGGTGAATATAACTTAAATCCTAAACAAATTGAGAAGTTTTTATTTCTCCTCTTAGTGTTGAATAGTAAAGTGATATAATAATGCTTTGTTATCCTAATCTTTTTTAACTTGTGCTTATCTATCACGCCAACGTGGAAAGGTACGAAAAGAAAATGTTTGACGTTTCTTTTCCTTTCTAAACTTTACTCACTTGTTTTGGTTTGGTCATTCTTTACTTTTCTATGTTGACGTTTAAAGACCAACTTCCTATTCTTAACAGAAAGAGAAAGAGACAGAGAGAGGGACATAAAGAGTAAATGAAGAAATCATTACTTTTTTGATTTCTTACTTGGTATTTGGCAGCTGTATTAGGACATTGACTAATCAAAATTCGCATCGCATAAGGTTCATTAAAGGAAAAAACGTTCTCTTTCAAAAAAAAAACTACGGACTCAACTAAAATCCGAGAGCTTTGAATAAAAGGTAAAGAGAATGTTTACCCGGAAAATTGGATAGAGTTGAATTTGTACGTAGTTTTAAGGGTATGTGGTATAACTTGACACAAATCGTAAAGAGAAATAGAAATATCCAATCTTGACTATAAAGAATGAAAGATAAACACAGCAGAAAAGAGGAAAATGAATGAACAAAATAAGATAAAGTAATGGAGCTCAAAAGGTTAATCTTTCAATATGAGAAAATAGGATTCTTGTTACAATGTGAATGTCTCGCTCCTTTACAGAAACAACAATCATCCCTTTTATAGTGGAAGGATCCTACTTTAGATATAATAAAAAATACATAGTGGGGAACCCACGATAAATTAGTTTTCCCCTAATTCCTGTTAGGATTCTCTCCCCTAGTGCGGTTGCAACAGCTCTTGTTTGTGAGTTCGATATTGACTCGAGCTCGGTATTGACTCGAGCTCGATTCCGACTCGGAGTCTGATATCGATTCGAGGTCGACACACGATGTGATCCCAGATGGAGTCTATAACCTATTTTTCTCACTTTCTCGAACGCCTGTGCTTCAACCCATTTAGAAAAATAGTCAGTCTTAAACAAAATGCATTTAGCTTTACCTAGGGCCGATGGTAGAGGGCCGACGATATCCATCCCCCATTTCATGAATGGCCATGGGGATAGGACTGAATGAAGCCGTTCTCCGAGCTGATGGATCATTAGTGCAAATCTTTGGCATTTATCATATTTTCGAACAAACTCCTTAGTGTCCTTTTCCATGCTATCCTAGTAGTATCCTGCTCTAATGATTTTGTGAATTAGTGATTCAGCGCCGGAGTGGTTCCCACAAGTGTCTTCATGTACCTCTCGTAAAATATAATCGGTATCTCTTAGTCCTAAACATACTGCCAATGGTCTATCGAATGTCCTTCCGTATAATGTTCCATCTTCAGCCAACAGGAATCAAGCAGCTTTGGTTTGTAGGGCCCTCGATTCTTTAGGGTTCGATGAGAGTTTTCCGTTCTTCAAGTATTCAATATACTTATTCCTCCAATCCCAGGTTAAGCTTGTAGAATTTATCTCGGCATGATCTTCCTCGGTTATGGACCCCGAGAGTTGAACGACAATCCCCGACTCGATCTCATCTTCCTCAACCGATGACCCTAAACTTACGAGTGCGTCGGCCTCACTGTTTTGTTCTCGAGGCACATGTTGTAAAGTCCATTCCTTGAAATGGTGCAAAGTTACCTGTAATTTGTCCAAATACCTTTGCATCCTATCTTCTCGAACTTCGAAGGTTTTATTTACTTGGTTCACCACTAGAAAAGAGTCACATTTGGCTTCAATGATTTCTGCTCCAAAGCTTTTAGCTAGCTCGAGACCTGCAATCATGGCCTCGTACTCGGCCTCATTGTTAGTCAACCTAGAAGTTTTGATAGATTGCCTAATAATGCCACCCGNGGGGGGGGGGGGGGAGGTTTCAAAACGATGCCAAGCCCGGACCCCTTCACACTCGATGCACCATCTGTGAAGAGGGTCCAAACCCCCGATAATGTACCCGATTTTATCAAGAGTTCTTTTTCAACTTCGAGTACGAGGGTTGGCATGAAATCGGTCACGAAGTCCGTTAAAATTTGAGACTTGATGGTTGTACGGGGTTGATATTCGATATCGTACCCACTGAGTTCGACAACCCATTTGGCCGATCGGCCGGATAGTTCGGGCTTGTGAAAAATATTACGAAGTGGGTAGGTGGTTAACACGCATATGGGGTGACATTGAAAGTATGGTCTTAACTTTCTAGAGGCGCTTATCAGTGCAAGTGCCAATTTCTCTAAGTGTGGATATCTAGTTTATGCTTCTCCTAAGGTTCGATTTACATAATAAACAGAAAATTGCGTACCTTGCTCTTCTCGAATTAGTACGCCACTCACCGCGATTTCCAATACCGCCAAGTATAAGTAAAGTTTCTCATCTGCCTTCGGTATGTGAAGCAGTGGTGGGCTCGACAAGTATCGCTTCAATTCTTCTAATGCATGTTGGCATTCCGGGGTCCAGGCGAAATCGTTCTTCTTTTTGAGTAGAGAGAAGAATCTATGGCTTCGATCTGATGACCTCGAAATGAATCGGCTATCCATTCGGTTAGCTTTTGCACGATTTTTATATTATCCACGACGGCGATGTCTTCGATGGCCTTGATCTTATCGGGGTTGATCTCGATTCCCCGATTCGATACCATAAAGCCAAGGAACTTGCCCGAACCAACCCTAAAAGCACATTTCTCGGGGTTGAGCTTCATGTTGTATTTCCTTAAAATCTTGAACGTCTCCTGCAAATGAGTCAAATGGTCCTCTGCGCGCAGGGACTTAACTAGCATGTCATCAATATAAACTTCCATTGATTTACCTATTTGTTCTTCGAACATTTTATTTACTAGGCGTTGGTAAGTAGCTCCTGCATTTTTTAGCCCAAAGGGCATTACATTATAACAATACGTTCCATACTTGGTGATAAATGAAGTCTTTTCTCGGTCCCCCGGGTTCATTTGAATTTGATTATACCCGGCCGTGGCATTGATCATGCGATCGATGTTAGGCAGTGGAAAAGAATCTTTGGGGCACGCCTTGTTTAAATCCTTATAATCTACACACATTCTAAGTTTGTTCCCTTTTTTAAGGACTACAACTACATTGGCTAACCATTCAGGATATTTTACTTCCCGAATCAACCCTATTTTGAGAAGTTTAGTTACCTCGTCCTTTACAAATGCGTGCTTTACCTCGAACTGAGGTCTTCTTTTTTGTTTCACCGGTTTGAACCTAGGGTTCAGGCTCAGCCGGTGCGTTGTTATCGACGGTAGGATCCCTGTCATGTATAAATGGGACCAAGCAAAATAATCTATGTTATCGATAAGAAATTAAATAAGTTTTTTCCTGAGTTCGGGGGTCAATCCCGTCCCCAGGTATACCTTTCTCTCTGGCAGATGCCCAATCAATATAACCTGTTCCAGCTCTTCGACCGANGATGCCCGATCAATATAACCTGTTCCAGCTCTTCGACCGACGATTTGGTGGCGTCAGAATCTTCGGGGATGATAAAAGTTCGAGGGGTCAGAAAATCCTCCTCCCCTTCTTCTATTTCCTGCTTCCCCGATTCAGTCGAGGCTGAAGGCTGTGATTGTTATTTAACTTCTCGTTTACCTTTGATGCTTGACCTTTCCGAGGTTGATAGTATTGATATCGGCGTTACCTCATCGACCGCAAATATTTCCTTCGCAGCATGCTGCTCCCCGTACACTGTTTTTACACCATCCGACGTCGAGAATTTTATTACTTGGTGGAGAGTCAAAGGTACCGCCCTCATATTGTGGATCCAAGGCCTTTTGAGTAGGGCATTGTACCTCATGTCGCCCTCTATTACGTGGAACTTGGTATTTTGGATGGTCCCAGCCACGTTTACCGGTAGAATAATCTCCCCTTTAGTTGTTTCACTGGCCATGTTGAAGTCGTTTAAGACCCGAGCTGCGGGCACGACTTTATTTTGCAGACCGAGCTGCTCCACGACCCTCGATCGGATGATATTCGCAGAGCTACCTGGATCCACTAAAACACGCTTAACTTGAACTTTATTTAATAAGATAGAAATTACCAGAGCGTCGTTGTAGGTCTGAGAGATGCCTTCAGCTTCTTCGTTATTGAATGATAAAGTGTCTTCGGGCACATAATCTCGGGTTTGTTTTTCTCTAGTGATCCGTATCTTTGTGCGTTTGAGTATGGGTTCCTGTGGAGTGTCGACCCCACCGAAGATCATATGAATGATATGTTGAGGTTCCTCCTGTTCATTTTTTCTGTTGGCGTCTCTCTCTCTGAGATGGTTCTTGGCTCGATCGCTGAGGAACTCTCGAAGGTGGACCTCATTGAATAGACGGGCTATCTCCTCCCTTAATTGTCTGCAATCCTCGATTTTGTGGCCATGCGTGCCATGATATTTGCACATTGAATTTGGGTTTCTTTGTGAAGGATCAGTTTGCATGGGTCTGGGCCACCTAGTATCCTTGATCCTTCCGATTGCCGATACAATACCCGATGCATCGATGCTAAAGTTATATTCCGATAATCGAGGTGCCTCTATAGGATCGGCATATTTGTCAAAACCACTTTTGCTCATAAGTCTCTGAGAATTCTGTCCTTGATCACTCTTTCGATTGTTCCGGGCGAAATTGCGTCCCGAACCATTGTTCCTTTGATTTGTGGTGTATGGTTGATATCGGTCTCTGTTCGACCTTGGCTCTCCATCGATGTCTCTTTGGTTTTTAATAACCGACCTGTTTGGATGTACTGATCCGAAAGGAGCTCCTAATTGGTTGTCTTCGACCCTGATTTTTGACTAATATCGATTGTGCACATTTGCCCAAGTTACAGCTGGATATTCGATCAAATTTTGTTTCAGCCGACGTGATGCTATCGAACTTCGCTCGTTCAACCCTTGGGTGAAAGCTTGAACGGCCCAATCGTCTGTGACCGGTGGCAACTCCTTGCGTTCCATTTGAAATCGGGACACGAATTTCCTCAGCATTTCATTATCCCCTTTTTTACTTTAAAAAGGTCTGATTTCCTTGTTGCGACTTTTATGCCATCGACGTGTGCCTTTACGAAAGAATCTGCTAGCATGGAAAATGAGTCGATGGAATTCGGTGGCAGATTGTGAGACCAAATCACTGCTCCCTTCGAGAGGGTCTCTCCTAATTTTTTCAACAACACAGATTCGATTTCGTCATCTTCTAAATCGTTACCCTTGATGGCATGTGTAATAGGTGACATGTTCGTTGGGGTCGGTAGTTCCGTTATATTTGGGAATCTCGGGCATACGAAATCTTTTTGGGATTGGTTTTGGGGCTGCACTCGAGGGAAAAGGCTTTTGCACGATTTTTTTGGAATCCAACCCTTTTATCATTAATGGTGTCCCCGGGATCTGATCGACCTTGGAGTTATATGTTTCTACATTTTTATCGTTTGCTTCGATCCGCTTTGTGAGTTCCTCGAGTATCTTAGCAATTTCAGGAGTAGTCCCCGATTCTCGCTCATTTGACCTTACTATGGCTGGCTCCGGTCTGTGGGCAATTTATCGAGGTGGACTAGGCTCCGACCTGCTTACTACCTAGGTTTGGCTCTGTAACTGAGCTATCGCTACCTGTTGGTCTTGCAGCATTTCAAAAATCATACGCAAGCTGACTCTGTTTTCCTCAACGTTATGGGTGTCTCGAGCTGCAGATCAAGTACCGCCATGAATGCTATTTTTAGGTTCAGAACGTTGGTTTGCCTCAAGGGCCACATGCGAATTAAAATCTAGTGGTACTTCAACACGAGCTTCAGGTACTCCGAATCGAGCTTTCACGGCATCGATAAGCGGCCTTCCGGCCCTTAGCGTCAAGTTGTTGGTTTCATCTTGAAGGCCGATTCGTTTTCGTAAGGTAAAGCCATTAATCGAAGGTTTGCCATTGCTAATCCGAAGTCAAAGACACTTTCAAAAGACAAGCGTAAAATGGTGTGTGTTGTAGATTTGTATCAAATAACCACTGTTATCCTTAGCCTCACGGTGGGCGCCAAACTGTTTACCCAAAAAATCGGATAGAGTTGAATTTGTACGTAGTTCTAAGGGTATGTGGTATAACCTGACACAAATCGTAAAGAGAAGTAGAAATATCCAATCTTGACTATAAAGAATGAAAGATAAACACAGTAGAAAAGAGAAAAATGAATGAATAAAATAAGATGAAGTAATGGAGCTCAAAAGGTTAAACTTTCAATATGAGAAAATATGATTCTTGTTACAATGTGAATGTCTCGCTCCTTTACAGAAACAATAATCATCCCTTTTATAATGGAGGGATCCTACTTTAGATATAATAAAAAATATATAGTGGGGAACCCATGATGAATTAGTTTTTCCCTAATTCCTGTGAAGATTCTCTCCCCTAGTGCGATTGTAACGGCTCTTGTCTGTGAGCTCGGTATTGACTCGAGCTCGATTCTGACTCGGAGTCTAATATCGATTCGGGGTCGGTGCCGGTTGGCCTATGAATCTTAAGCTCGATAATTTCGCTTCGCCTCGTAGCTCGATTTGGATTCGAGCTCGATAATGATATCGAGCTTGACATTGATCGGTCCTAGAACTCGAAACTTGATGACCTGACTTCGGACCTCAATCTGATATTACGAAGACGCTCTTCGATCAAAGTATTATCATCTCGACCAGTTCGTACGACGAACTAATCGGTTTTGCCCGTATACAGAAATCCTATGCATCATATCATAATTTTGTAATAATTTTTTTTATTTGGTATAGTAAAGAAAAGAACATTAAATGAACTTGTTCTTTGATAGTTTCACACGTCAAAGAACTTTTTCTTTCTCCCTTTTAACTTTTTTTCTTGGTCTTGATTGATCACAAGATCAGTATGACTCTGTCACCCCCAAAATAATGCATGATTTTCTGGTAATAAAGTTTAAAGTGGCAAAAGAGTTGCCCATTTAAAACTAGTTTCTTAATTTAGAGCACACAATTTTTCCAACTCACAATAAAAATAGTAAGATGAGAAAGAAACGTTTTTATCGCGACGAACCAGTGAATATACGACACATGTCTTTATATATATTTTTATCACTAAATTATAGTTATTGATGATTTAACCATAATAAATTAATAAGTATAATTTGATGTAAGCATTACGAATAAATTTTTACAGATAGCTACCAACCTGCACCTTTTATCTCACTTGGGTAAAAAAAGAAGTCCAATATATTAGCCATTTTAAAGAACCAAGAATCATTAATTTTTCTTTTCAATTCCACTCTTACAACTCATTTATGGATCATTTGATTTGAGAATAAGTTATATTGAAATTATAAAGTAAAATTCTAATATAAGATTAGAATTATTACAAGTGAATATTACATAATGTCATTGAGTGATGATCTTAACGAGTGCGTCAAAACCTTAAAATGACATAAAAAGGGCTGAAGTTCAGTATATTAGTCATTTTAAAGAACAAAAAAGCATAAACTTTTTTTGTATGAACTCTCAAAAGTTCCTGCAACAATCGTGTCAGATCCTCCAAAAATAATACGCACCCCATGACATTTTTAAAGAGTTCGAACAACATGTAATCAGCCACAAAAAGTAAAAAGTAAAATGAGGAATAACTTTACTAAGTGCAACATTAATGAAAGTGGTACCTGAGTGACAACAGACCATTGAGTATCTAGTGGAAGCTGGACAAAATCATCAAACTTGGTCCCAATTAGTATTGGAATAGCAGTCTGCAATTGACCAACACAAACAAAAAGAAAGGATTAGATATTTAACAAATTAAACCTCAACCACTTAAAACTTTGGAAGAGGAGCATGAGAGCAACGATAAAGTTATCTCTGTGTGACCTATAGGTCACGGATTCGAGCCGTCGAAACAGCCACTAATACTTGCATTAAGGTAGGCTGTCTACATCGCACCCTTGGGGTGCGGCCTTTCCACGAACCCTGCGTAAACACTAGATGCTTTATGCACCAAATTATCCTTTTTTTATTTAAAAATTTTAAGTCTACTCCACTTTGGACTTTTCACGTGCCTTTCCACGAACTCTGCGTAAACGCTGGATGCTTTATGCACCAGATTATCCTTTTTTTATTTAAAAATTTCAAGTCTACTCCACTTTGGACTTTTCACGTCTCTTAAGAAATAATAAATGAATACATAATTTACCATGATACCCATATTAATTGATGCATATTTTTATTGAATTTGAAAAAATGATTACATGAAAAAAAAAAGTGTATTTTCTTGATATGCTAAAAGTGACAAGTAAAATAAAAATCTATATTTAGAATACTGGACATTAAAATTGAACTGAGTGAGTACATATCAATTGATAATTAAAGAAGAGTACATATCAATTGATAATTAAAGAAGAGGCTTTTAAGTAGTTCTGTAATTATTGCCATTAAATTTTCTACTTTTTCCTCTAAAAGAATGAAAGTAGTTACAACTACTGCCCTTATTCTGGCCATTCTAGCATTTTTTTTAATCTGTCATTGAAGTCTCAACTACTGTATTTATTTTCTTGTTACTAATTTCATTGTTTGGTGAAAGAAACTGCTACTGCCTTGTGAGTTGTGGATATCCTCCCATTTTTTCCACTTCTTTTTTTTATGACTGGGGACGTTCAGACCAATTTACGCGTATCTCGACTATTTTACTCGTTTGCCTATTATCGCCCTCCATTATTTATTGACAATGGTGTCCGGCTATTTTGCATAGAGCTCGACTATTCCATCGGATACCTGTTACCTTCCACCGGCATAATTATCATGTCCTAATTTTTCTAGTTTTTTTACGACGGTGGTGTCCGAACATAATTTGTGCGCATCTCAACTATTTTACTCGGGTACCTACTATCTTTCACTAATACAGTTACTAGATTCCATTTTCCTAATTTCTTTTCTTATGACAGTAGTGTCCGGCCAGCTTGTGCACACCTCGACTATTTCACCGGATACCCGCTACGTAGTACAATTATCGGGTCCCAATTTTCCTAATTTTTTTAATTCCTGACCAGCTTACGCACACGTGTATTTCATTAGGTATCATATACCTCCTACCAAACAATAGTACCATGTCCCATTTTTTCTAGCTTTATTCATCACACTAAGAAAAGAGAATAAATTCATGACCGCAAAGTCTTTCTCCTATTAAAGAAAACAACAGTAATTAATGTGAAATAGAAGTAAAGTGTCGCACCTTATTCCACTTTCTTGCTTCACTGTACCAATCTATTACACTGCAATTACAAAAGGAGGAAAAAAGGTTTTAAAAATATTTAAATAAGGAGAAAAAAAAGTGAAAACCGCGTTATTCCTAATTCCCATGCTTTTAAAAAGATTATGGGAAATAATTGAGAAATTAAGATCAAAAGCATACTTGTTTAAAGTACTTCTACTAGTGAGATCAAACATGTAGAGAATTGCAACTGAATCTTTACAAGCAATTGGAATTTGAACATATGAACTATGGTCACCTGTATTAAAAAAAAATAAAAATTAATCAGATAAATCAATTAGGAATAATATATTACCAACTCAAACTTGGCCTAATGGAAAATAAAAATGAAAAATGAATTAAAAAGAAATTAATGGACATATACCTCCTACATCCCATATTCTAAAAGCAATTCTTGCACCTCGTACAATTAATATTTTATCCATTAAATTCAATCCCTTCATCTGCAAACACCTCTTTTCTTGTTCGTCTCCCACATACTTTATCTAAAATAGTTTTTTCCAAAAAAAAAAAAAAAAAATTGAAGAAGAAAAAAAGAAAATCATTAGTTTCCATATATATCAAGAATCAAACAAGTTATAAAAGAACCTGTATAGTAGAATGTACGAGATCCCTTTATTCTTAACCAGCGGTTTCAGGTTCGAGCCCCTTTAAATAGCCCGACGCAAATCAGATTAGTCAGAAAAAAGGGATCGCAGCGACCAAGTCAGCACGACTGTTTACGAAAAATACGTATCTCTATTAAAGTCGTAAGATCATATATGTAGGGGCGAAGCTAGCCTTGAGATTGCAGTCGGCCACAACTAGTAGCCTTGGTTCACACCCTCTATTTGTCTCAAAGACATATATTGGTTCTAACGGTTACCAATAACTTAAATTGATTGGAATTCTGAACTCATAATCTTGAATACCGAACGATTAAATAAAACAAGTTATAGAAGAAGAGATTAATTAAATTAATCATAAAACTTACCACAAAACTTGTTTTCCCAATCTGGCAATCACCCAAAATACTAATCTTCAATGCAACTAAATCTGAATCACTGTCATATCCACTAATTAATGTTTCATCTGATGATTCCACAGCTAATAATTCCTCAGAAACTTTTGTAGACAATCTCCTGTACCTTACTGAGTTTCCAGTTGAACAAACCATAATTCTTTCCCAAATGAACCTAAAAAACTCTTTAAATATTGAAACTTTTTCTACTATTTTCCACCTTATGCTGTTAACTTGAATAACTTTCCGGCAAAGCTGACGATGATGCATCCTTAACCAGACGTCTCGAGTCGAACTCGAAAAAAAAAAATTCTTGATAAGGGACGCTTCTCTTAGATGAATGGGACAGGAGTAGGGGACGGTCCTACGCGCAGCGCAGGCAACAGCAATACCGGTTCTATGAAGTCAGAATCGAATCTTTCTGTTGGCGTTTCCAATTCATGATCATGACTAATAACACGAATTCGAATTAGTCGGGTCAGTCATTTTTTTTTAATGAATTTTTCATGAATATTTTGAGGAAGAAGAGGAAGTGTATATGAGAGATTTGGTTTTTCAAGATTCTCGTGCTTATTTTTGGCCTTCTTTTGGGATTTTTAATTTGTTGTCTTTTGAAAAACTAAAGTATGGGAAGGTGTGTTCGTTGTTTTTAGATTCGTGTGTTGGACAGTTGACCGGTGGTATGTATAATTATTAAAATGACGAAACAATCCTACTTGCTGGCTTTTTAGTTTCAATGTTACTTGGGTATTTTGGTCTATTTCATATAATTCTCACTAAATTTTTAATTGTTAGATTTCAGAAAAATTGTGCAAAAAGTGATTTAACGCGATACACCAAAAAAGCCCCCGTTAAATCCTCGAACTCGAAACACAAAAAACTACAATGGACACCAGAAATAGATAAAAATGTAAAAAAAAATTGCACCTTAAAAAGTTGCACCAAACTCTATAGATAAACAAAAATAAATAACAAAAACTGAACCTCAAAATGTGATTTTATATTAAATTTTCTTTTATAGTTTTTGTTAATTCTAATAATCAAATTTTGTTAAATATTTAACTAAGACTTATAAAGTCCCACTTTTAATAAATTTAGAGGACTAAAACAACTCAAAAAATTATTTAAAGGACCATTTTGAATGTACCTCCAAAAGACATTTTCTTCAACTAAGAGCACTATGGTAAATCCAATGAGTAATTGGATAAGATGCACAATAGATCTCTGAATTAGGGACTAGAGAGAGAGAAGCAAAATGTAAAAAGAGATTAAAAAAAAAGTATGGGAGTATATAAAACTCTTAGCAAAATGTGTTTATTTTTTTGTCCAATAAAAATAAATTGCACATTGAACGGAATAGTAATTTAATTATTTTTCTAATATTTAAGACTTTGATATAAAGTAAAAAGCTTGATCACTAACACGTGTAAACAAAGAAAAATATTCCCATGCATAAAGTATTTGGATATTTTATTTAGAAAAAGGAATTTAGGTAGAAGACGTGATCATGAAGAAAATGCCACAAGTATGATTGTGAATGAATACAACTGAATTGTGTAATAATTAATTTAACAATCATGATTTTTGTTGGCCTTCATAGGTCCCGTAGGAGGATATTTTTCTTTTTTATACTCCAATATTTTAATGATTTTAAAACTTGGTAAACAGTCTGAATGAATCAAAACTATTTAGAATAAATAAGTGGACCTAAATGAAAAAAATACAAAGTTGTGGGCTTTTCGTGGCGCATATTAGAAATGAGGAGACCATACTCTAAATTGGATAGCGCATACTTAGGGGTATATATGGATTGGGTTGGTTCGGATTTTATCAAAAGCGAACCAAACCAACTATATCGGTTTGGATTGGATTGGTTTGGTTTCGTCGGTTTTTTCGGGTTTTCCGAATTTTTTTGTTACATTAATATTATTTCAATCTTACTTTGTGTTATAGATAAAATTTTGATAAGTGAATATATGTTTAGTGAGAATTGAAAGACATATGATCTATTAAAATATTCTTATGGGGAGACTTTTTTTAGTAACACGTGATAGTTATTTTCTTAGTCGTCTAACAATTTCGTTGATGTACGCCTTCAAAGTTTACCTAATTTAAGAATTAAACATAAAAATCAATATGATACCTAAATAGTGATATGTTCTATTTAATTTTAAGTTATCGAAATACCATTCTCGAAAAAGATATAAGAAATCTTGATACATGAATATAGAAAAACAAATAGATGATACAATCCATTATTTAAAGTAAATAAAAATGAGGCACTTCATAATTCTATTAAATATTATATCCCATGAAAACATCCCAAATATTTCTGAATATTTTTTCGAAAAAAAATCTATATAAAGACTTAAAAGTATATATAAAAATTATATATTTTATATGTTGGTTTGGTTCGGATTTTTTACTCAAATACCAAACCAAATCAAACCAAACATAATCGAATTTTTTAATCGGTTTGGTTTGACTTTTCGGTTTGGTGTGATTTTCCGGTTCGGTTTGAACACCCAAAGTGCAGTGGCCTCTTGCTGCATTCATGGTAATTATCCACAGAATTAAGTCATTTAAAAGGCAAATACATGTAACACTAAATAATGAACATTAACTTAACCCCAACCCAATAAATAGCAATATGCTATAACCCTGTTAGATTACAATTGTAGAGTAAAAGTTCTTTAAATTTAAAAATTTTCCTGGTTAGCTCCTGTTTGAGTTTCCATACTTTTAACTTGTTTGCAGAATCAATAAATAACCCCCAAAGAACAAGAAAAATCCAAGAATCAGCATAGGAGATGCTCAATTTTCCAGTACAGTGTAAATGTGGTACTTCTGCATTAGTCTTTTAACATTCATTAACTTGATACTATGCATGAAGATAAATCATAAATGAAGTGTGCTTACAATCACGTTTGAGTTGAACTTAAATGAAGTAGTGTGAGGAATCATAAAGCCGACTCCAGCTTGTTGAGGACTGAGGCGTAGTTGTTATCGTTATTGCTTTTGATCACGTTATTGTTCCTTCAATTATAAACAAAAACCATGGCAACAACAAGCCAGTGTAATCCCACAAGTGGGGTATGAGGAGGGTAATGTGTAGTGTGTACCAAGACCTTACCCCTACCTTAATAAGGTAGAAAGTTATTTCCGGTAGACCCTCGGCTCATGGAAATATGAAAAAGAAGTAGTAGCACTAAGCAACCATGGCATTAGCGACAATTCATGAAACGTAGAAAACAAGAAATCTTTCCCGTAACTTCTCATACCAGACCAACCCACTAAAATGCAAATAGGGATAAAAAATGTGGTCAATATCACGAAGAATAAAGAGATACCGTCTATACCCAAATAAAACTTGATGTTTTCGTAAGGAAGCCATCAAAGGCTTTCCACAAATTAAGATTTGGCCGTAGAAGGATCGAATTGTATCAGAAGAACAGGGGAACTAATACTTCACCATCAAATTAAGAAAACATAAGTATTTGGACGAACGCTTTGGCTAAGTATAGCTCTGATGCATGCATTAATGCTCATAACTGATAAATAGCAGAGCTTACATAAGGAATGAGAGATGGTAAAAGGGTGTTAATCTAAATTATGGCGAAAACAAGAACAAAAATAATGCTAACAGCAAAACTTGATACTTCTCAACACGCTCTCCATTCACGCCTTCTGGACCTTAAAGTTAAGGATAAAGTCTTTGATTTCATCGCTAGAAGCCCTATCAAGGGCAGTACGTCCGTCTCCATCCTTGACTGTGTAATCTGCTCCGGCTCTCAGTAGCTCTTCGATTTTTGGTAAGTCGCCTTCAGTGGCAGCCATGAGCAGTAAAATATCGACCGGGTGTATGTTTTGGCTCAAAAGAGCCTCCATCTTATCATAAGTACCCTCAACTGCAAGCATGCCCATATAGTTGAAGTACTACACGAATAGTAAGTAATTCAGTGAGTTAATCCATGATAAATAGCTCACCTTTATTGAACTAACGCTCCTCACAAAATTATACTATAACTTTGGCATCCGGTGGCGGAGCCATAATTTCACTAATTGGGGTCAAAATGTAAATAAGTAAACAAATGAAGAAGCCAACGGGTGTCAATATATAGTGTATATACATTTTTAAAAAATCACCTAGCTACACAATGTAATTTTCAAACGGTGTCCTTTAGAAGGGGAGCCTTGACGTAACCGGTAAAGTTGATACCATGTGACCAGAAGGTCATGGGTTAGAGCCGTGGAAACAACTTCTTGCAGAAATGTAGGGTAAGGCTGCGTACAATAGACCCTTGTGGTCCTGGTCTTCCCCGGACCTCGCGCATGGCGGGAGATTAGTGCACGGGGATGCCTTTTTTTTTTTTGTCCTTGAGTACATGTGGCTCCGCCGCTGTTGGCATCATATATACATGAATACTACTTTCAGAGAAATAACTCCAACCAAAGAAATTTCTCATTACTATGTCATATGATTAAAGTAGTTTGCCACCATAAATTTTCACAAGAAAATATGGTATTGTTGTATACCATTTTGAAATGAATCTCCACAGTTTCGTTTAGTTAGCATAAAGGAGGATAGACAGAACTATCTGTCATATCTAAACAGTCTAGCGCGAATCAGTGAATCTCTGCAAACCAAACTATAAACTATACACATTGACCAAAGGGTTGAAGGACTCGACTACTCAAGTTGCCAGGCAACGGACAGGCACTCAATACTAAAATCTTACATTATGTTGATCATCATTTCTTTTTACTTTAATTCAGTTTAACTCATTCGATTCAGTATCAAACTAATACACAGTTATTTGGATCATTGAAAAGAAGGAAAAAGTTGTCACTTATCTGTTATATCTTATAACAGTCTCACATGAATAAGCAAATCTCTGCAAAACCAAACTATGACTATACATACTGATCAAAGAGTTCAAGGACTCATCTACTGAAGGTGGCAGACACTTAAAATTAAAATGTTACACTATTTCGACCAGTGTTTCTTTTTACTATAATCTATGTTTAACTCAATAGATTCAGTAATATATCGATAGGCATACTATTTTGAATGATTTTATAAGCAGAAGAAGCTATCACACAATACTTTTTTCAATTTGGGTTTTTGTTAAATGATTATCTTTAGAAATAGTTATTATAGATTTGCTACTCATAGAGCTCATGACCTTGCTCAAATGGAGTTCCCTTCTTCATCATTTCTTTTAGATGGTTGCTTATCCATTCTGATGGCTATAAAATGTGTCAAAAGGAAGAAGGAAACAGTCTAAAAAACCCTTTCAGTACAATTCTTGTAGCATATTCACTTTTCTATTCCTCTGCAGCCCTTAAACATATTCGAAATGTGTGACCATCTCATATAAAAACTTAAATTGTTAGAATTTTTTTTTTCATGAGCCAACCACGTGGACATTCTGTCTGATAATGAGTGGTGGTGCGATTCAAACCCAACACCTAAGTGTGCTTTGCCACCGTATTAAAATATATGACCATCTCATCTGAAAGCTTAAAGTTTACTCTTTTATTTACTTAATTATATCTCTAACAAAACATATAGGAATCTAGGCTATTGTCGGGGGTTCCAATTGCACTTACTACGTTCGATACAGACCATAAATCGATAAAAGAAAACTCTAAAGTTATACAACAATCCACCACGGTCTAAACTCTAATGTCTGAATACACTAACTCTAATTCTTGAATTTCACTATACAACAACAACAATACACCGAGTGTATTCCCACAAGTGGAAAAGAAAAAAGTTGAAAAAATTAGAAGATACTGTGGTCTGTGGGAATTGAACTAGCAACCTAACAAAGATTTTGAACCCTCTTGACCATTGAGTTACGTTTTTTGGTTGTGTCAAGGGGATTCAAAATATAATATACAGAGATATAAACTAAACTTTACCTTATATATACAGTGTAATTTTTTGGCGAAGGGGGTTCGGGTGAACACCATTCCACCACTAATGTGCAGGTAAAGATACTGTTTATGGTAGACCCTTGACTCAAGGCAAGCATAATTCTTGAATTTCACTATACAAAAACAACAAAAACAATAATATACCGAGTGTATTCCCATAGATGAGGACTAGAGAGGGCAGTGTATATGCAGAACTTACCCCCTACCTTGTTAGAGAGGTTTTTTCCGATAGACGTCGGCTCAAGTCAAGCATAATTCTTGAATTTCACTATGAGAATGAAAAAAGAAACTCACCTGTTCAACGTCGTCGCGGTCAAAATCATCACGAGATTGACTACCATAAACACCAGCAGTTTCAGCATTTTGGCGAAAGTTAAACCAGCAAGTAGTTCTTGAACCACAACTTGGTCCAAGTCCATTTGGTCTGCTACACCATCCTATTCTTTTCAGTTTTGAAGCACTCACAACAAAGCAAGAATTCAATCTAATTGGTAGACATGAAGTAGAAGAAGATGAAAAATTGGGAGTTGAGGAGGAGAATTTTAGTTGGAGAGTACAAGGAATTGAGGCCATTGTCAGAGGAGAGTTTCTGAAAAAAGGTAGCTCAAATCAACTACCTTATCACTATCTGTGTTAGTGTTGGATAGCAGTATAGCACTGACAATATCAATTAAATTGTTTTCAGTGTAATAGATCTACAACAAAATCAGAGTGGCGCAGCGGAAGCGTGGTGGGCCCATAACCCACAGGTCCCAGGATCGAAACCTGGCTCTGATATGTGTTAAGAGAGCAAGCTTCCCAAACCACCCTTTTTTCCTCATTTTTTAAAACAAGGTGAATTTTTCTTTTTTTCTAAGTTTTGAAATTGTAATTGTTTAACTGATGTCTTTTAAAAAAATTTCAAGTTTTTTGAGAAGTGAAAAAACAAGTTTCAGAAATTTTTTTCTCCTTGTGAATACGAGATGCTTTGTGCACCGGACTGCCCCTGTTTTGGACACTCCTTAAAAAATATTTTTTCTCCTTAAAACAAGGTGAATTTTTCTTTTTTTCTAAGTTTTGAAATTGTAATTGTTTAACTGATGTCTTTTAAAAAAAATTCAAGTTTTTTGAGAAGTGAAAAAACAAGTTTCAGAATTTTTTTCTCATTGTGAATACGAGATGCTTTGTGCACCGAACTGTCCTTATTTTGGACACTCCTTAAAAAAATATTTTATAAGTTTAATCATAAGAGTATTTGACTAAACAATATTGTTTTTCTCTTAAATTTTTCAATTAAGTATGAATTTGAAAAAACGCAAGTAAATACTTCTTGTTTTTCTAAAACGTCAAATACTTTTGGAATAAATTTAATTTGCTAGAAGTCTAAAACGACACATACTATACATAAAGGAATGTCAATCTAACCTTAGCAAATGGAGTATGGCAAATTTGGACATCGCAATTCGCAAGTAAATGACAACTCCGTTTTTTCCCTTCATTATTTTCTACTACTTTCCTTTAAAGTAAATAATGAAAGAGCAATAAATTGATTGGTACATGAGTTGGCCAACTTAGGCACTTCACTACCATTACCAGGCCCCCACCACCAAGAGAAAAAAAAAACGAATTAATCTAAATAGTCGTACCCTCAACCGCTAAAATTAAAATTAGACGACGAATATATTATATGTATAATTCATGCATAATATGTGTATAACATATATAATATATGTATATCAATTAGAAAAATAAACAATAAATTCGACTGAATATTTGTACAAAAATTCCCCCCAAAAAAAGCCCAAACAAGAACCCTAGAGACCATCATCTCCATTTTATTTTTCCATTCAATAAGCAAAATTATTAAAGACAAAAGAAACTACCAATAATACTAATTTCAAGAACAAATCTCCTAGAAAAGTTTTAAGGACCAACCATCTATTTTTAAGAAAATAATAGTGGCGTTGTGGCCGGTTTTTGCGTACCTCTACTATTTCATCAGGTACTTGCTATCTCCCACTAGCAAAAGTATCTAATTATTTACCCATCTAGATTTAGAATGATGGAAAAATATAACTTCATTTTATTGTTATCTCCGCTAAAATTTGAATCTTAATCGTCAATGATCTTCACTCAATTTATTCGTCGACGTTAGGCCACACGCATAGGTGCAAAAACCAACCATCTATTTTCCATCTCCATTGCCACTCAGGAGAAATTAATCACAGAAGTAAAAGCCTATGGCCCTACAAACATAACTCATTTACCAGAATTAATTCTTAGATCAACTTGTAGTCTTAAGAGGCCTAAAGCTATAGGATGTTTAGGTTCAACAGCAAAAGCACATGTTTTCAAACAAAAGGTTATAGTTTGTTTGGATGGTTCTGTTGTATTGTATCATATTGTTACTTTAAATACATTGTTTATCTTGATTGTTACTTAAATTTTTATTGTATCATATCGTTAAATCCATCATTACGTAACGGCGAAAAGAGTCACCTTATGAAACGACCGATTTGGTGTGGTCGTGTCGTTCCCTTTTTTTTTTTTTTTTTTTTTTTTTTTTTTTTTTCTCATCTTGCTCTTCCATATTATTAAATAATCATATTTTATCCTAATACAATACCTTTTCATATAATAATTCTACCTCGTACTTTACTTTTTCTTTATAATATTGCAAATTTATTATTCATATTGTTGGTGCATGACATCATGAAATGATGGAAAATAATACAATCTATCCAAACAGTACAGTGACATCAAAATGATACAGTACAATGTAATACTATACGATACATTATGAAAGATAAGTAACAACCATACAAACAAGTTGTTAAAGACAAATAAATTTATCACCACCCTATTCTAGGTTTTAAAAAAAGAGCAGCACGGTGCACAAAGCATCCCGCATTCACGTAGGGTCCGAGGAAGGATCACATCCCAAGGGATATAGTGTGATAGCCTACCCTAATACAAGCATTAGTGACTAATTTCATGGTTCGGACCCGTGATCTATTCTAGGTAGAACTATTATAAAATGAATGCACAAGTAGTTAGAAGTTGGTACACAACGTGAGCAAATTTAAAGTTTTTTAACTGCAAACACATGAATAAGGTGATCAGAGAGCCTCCTAATCTTCATTCAAGCCCATAGGTTTCACTTTATGAGGTAAAGGATATAAGGCAAAGAAGTCATGTGAAAGCACTAAGAATTAGGCCTAAAACCAGAATGACCAATTCTCATATCAAGGCAAAACACCAACCTCATACCACAACTTTCCCTCCTATCATGCAAAAATCTGAATATAAAGCTAATGGCTTAGGATTTACAGTTGCTGAGAAGATGGCTGCGAATAATCCTCTAGTCAAGATAGGTAGCAGAGGAACCGTTGGATCCCTCGTGTTACAAGAAATCGAGTACTTCAGTAGGCTACAACTAAACCATCACAACAGCACGCACAAGCCATGTCGTCAAGTTTCAGACGTGGCTTCTACTAACAGTCACTCTAGATCAAATCTTGGATCGTTAGTCACGAATCCCAAAAAGAAGAAACAGAGCTGTAAGCTGATGCCGAGCATGTGCTCAATGGTAGAAGTTGCAGAATGTAATCCACCAACTGCTATTTCAAGATTCACTTACAGGAATCTAAAGGCTGATATTTGAAGCTTTGCGTAACTAGACCGCGTTCTCAGATAGTTTTGTGAAACCAAGTTTCTTCAGGCTATTTTTTATAGGATTTGTCCAAGTTCTGTCCATACTTCTGCATTTTATGTCCACAATTTCTACCATGTAAGGTCCCTTTCTGTCGGTTTTTTGGCTAATAGGAGTTCCATCTACTGAAATATTTTCTGATTCTAGTATCGGAACTTGATGCGTTTTTCTACTGTAGTGCTTCATCTTCCGGACAAATTCAGGGCTTTTACTATTACTATGCTTTGATGTCCCGCTGCTGCTTGCTTCGTCGCCTGATGTTCTTGGCTTCATTCTCTTTGGACTGGTCGCGCTACCAGGAATGAAACCACAAACACTAGGAGACTTATTCTTGGATGACGTTGGCGTCTGAGAATCAGGTTTCTTGGAATCTAATTCTCTTGACATCAAGGCACTGACTTTACCAGTAGTTCCCACTTTAACAGAACCTCCACCGACCTTGATTGCTTCTAATGTTTGAGCCATGCTTTTCGAATTTTCTGGGATTGATCTAGCAGATATTTAGTTGCACCCTGCAAGACAATAGCAATTAGAGCATGCATAAATAAGTTTGTATCATGGGATGAGCTACATAGCCTAGATTAACATGAAATCATGGTCGCATAAATTTGGTTGCTTCTTCAAATTTTATGATTTTTCCATCTATACAATATTATGAACAGCATTTGAAAGAGCTAAAGGGAGATTAAGAATACAGCTCCTCCCAACAGAGGTGGAGCCAGGAATTAAAGCATATGAGTTCGGGATTCTAGTTCTTTTTTAAGTTATTGGGTTCTAAATTAATAATTACATGTCAAGTTTTTTTTAAGACAAATACAGGGTTTGGACGAAAGCTACTGTATTTGGCCAAACTAGTCGTCAAAGAGCTAGCTCCGCCCCTGCCTCAAGATAAATGTCAATATCTTAAATTTATATTAGATCAAATGCAAACACAAACACAAACACAAACACAAACACAGAGAACTGCACTATCTGCAATATAAAGGCGAGTAGTAATAACGTATAGTCATTGGAGGGCATACAAAAGATACAACTTCAACATAATAGTGATTCGGAAACAACTAATATACACACCAGAATATAATCTTCAGTGGACTGCAAATTCTACTAAAATGTGAGCCGAGTTCAAAATTTTAAAACTGACAATGCATGGGGAGACAAAATGGATTCTTTAGTAGGAAAGTACGCGACTGGGAGAAATTCTACATCATTCGGCTCTGATCTGCTTAGACAAAAAGGGGAGTTATTTTACTTATATTTACAGCTCAGATATATGAATATGTTGTCGATAGAAAGAAAATCAAACACGAATACCCAATTACACCTATCATCATAAATGAGAAAGCAGACAGAGTATATAACAAAACTGAATTCTAACTGTAGATGAAGTACAGAACATTGAAATCTAACTCAGAGAGCTACACAGTTAACCATCTTAAAAAGGGTGGAATCATGTAACTTGGGAGGATAAAGGGCAGATATAAACTGAAAAATTCTGTTCATATTTCTCAGATTTACCAACAAAAGAATGTCTACGCCCAAAAGATTGTCCAGATTCGATCATTTTCAGCTAAAATTTTCTCGTGATAGAAAATGAAGTTTAACCAGCTGATCCATGGAAATTAACTAGCAGGGTTAGGCTGGAGATAGAGTAGCAGAAACAAACAACAAGTATGACTCAATTCCAAACAAGTCGGGGCCATCCTCGCCTCACCAAGTTACTCTATTTAAATTCATCTCATGCCTATATTATGCAAACACAAGTAAAAAGTATTAGAGTTAGGTATATTTTCTCATCATACAAATTTCTAACACACATTCTCAACTATTATTACCAGAAACCAACGGCTGACGGAAATTGATTTCACCACTGCAAGATAACACATATACCCGATTAGTCCTTTCGTTTCTACCCAATTGCCATCTTCTTCATCAGCTTAAATCTGTCATTACTGGACAGCACCACAACGATATCCCAGTGGCGAAGCCAGAAATTTCATTTAGGCAGTTCAAACTTGAAATAAGTAAAAAAAATCTGGGATTCAATTTATGTTATATATCATTAAAATCCGATATTTTACCTATATATACAATATAATTTTTGTACGAAGAGTGGTCAATACATTAGACAGTAAGTCAAAAAAGATCAAATTTTGCTGTGGTCCAGAAACCATTAAAGCACACAAATTTAGGTTCGTAGCTGTGAAGAATTACGCAACCATTACTTTTTTTATGACTATAAGTGCAAAGTTAAGTAAAAAATATATGCTTTTAAAAGCTTCTATGGATAAAACACCAAAGCAGTTTGTGTAAAGACCCATATCCCAAATAGTGTTCAAGATTATAAGAGGAACCCAGTATTAGGAATTAGCACAGAAAAACTGAAACTTTTTAAACTCAAATGAACAGACAGATCTAAACTAAGTGACCAGAATGTAATAAACGTAATCAAAGAATAGCTCAAAAACCTCAACAAGAAATTACTATGAAAAAAGAATGGTGCTAATAGATTGCTAATAACATTATGAGTCAAAATTTACCAGGAGAAGCGGCAAATGGAGCTCAGAAAAATGATGGGTCACAAATAAAGATTGTCAAACAAACCCCACAAAAACAAAGAGTAGAAGATGAAAGCAAGAGTAATGCAACACCGACTAGTCCATCAGCAAAAGCAGTCAGTATACTAGTTTATTATAAGTCTTCACGGGAGTATAATTGACTTATATTTTCAATGATTTTGTGTCAATTTCAAGGTATCTTGTGCTAGATGATGCACCAATCTCTATGTTTTTTAACTTCTGATGGGCCCTACTTCACATCCCCTTTGGGCAACGTATCTCACTGGTCAAACGAAGTAGATTTTAGAGGCGATATCTGACAGGTTAAGCTCCCCTTTTGATTATGTTTTTGGCTTATTTTATTCGTTTTCTGGTTCTTGAACGTGACTTGTATTTACCCGAAATCAAAGAACCAAAATGTGCGAAAAGAAAATATAATGATCTTTTTATATATAACGCTCTTTTAAAGGGCGTTATACCTTAACGGGTGTTTGTCCGTTAAGATTAAAGTATAGCGTCCTTTAAAAAGGCGCTATATTTGAATCCACATGTCAGGAAAAACAAATAAATAGAATTTAATGTATTGAAAGAGGAATAGAGTACTGAGTGATGTAATGGTTAAAGACTAGGTATGGAGTTGGGTTTGGCCTTGAGGTATATGGTTTGATTACTTCCACCAGCATTATTTTGTTTTCCTGTTTCTTTTTCATTTTTCTTTTCTTTTCATTATTTGATAAGAGTGAGTTACTCTAGTGATAAGCACCAGGGTAGAGGTAAGGTCTGCGTACACACTACCCTCATCATACCCCACTAGTGGAATTATACTGAGTTGTTGTTGTTGTTTTCTTTTCATTATTTGGTTTAAGTATTTAGATATAAATACTTTAATATTTATAATTACTTTTCAATATAATTAAAATTATTTAATATTTATTAGAAAATTATGATTTTTGAATTCATTAAAAGTTAAAAAAATAGAGAAGCCTTTTATTATTTAGCTAAAAAATCTATCGACATTTTTAATAGTTGTTATTTTGTATTATACGTGAAACAAAATTATTTTTTTCTCCTTTTATTTTCAAATTAGAATTATAAGTTTTATTTTATAGTTAAAATTTTCATAAGAGAAATTTAATTAATATATACAGTTTAATCTATTACTTGGAATTCTTTTATTTTTTAAGAATTTTCTTTTAAAATTTAGTTATTAAAATTTTATTTATTAATCAAATTTCTAATTATATTTTTTATATTTTTCCTAAAATGTATTTTTTATTTCTCCTTTTATTCCTCGGCTATTGTAATTGTATTATCCATTTAAAAATTTTAAAAAAGAATATGGTTGTTCTTATAATCCATTAGGATTATTATTAGCTAAGTAATGGAATATAATTCTTATATTCTTCTTAGGAAAACTAATTAAATGGTTGCTCATAGACTAAATTTTTTCTAATAAGAATTATCCTAAACTAAACTAAATATAACCATTTAATTTATGAAAAACTATTTAATTAATTTTTCTATACTAAATTTTCATAAACTAAACTATATTATAACCATTTAGTTTATGAACAATCATTTAATTAATTGTCCGGATAAGAATATGAAAATCATAATTCATTACTTAGATAGTAATAATTCTTTGATTATAATTTTAAAGATTAAATAGTTATAATAATTTATATTTAATAATAAGAAAATTATAAGATTTATAATTAGAATTTCGATTAATAAAATTCATATAGTGTAAATATAACTAAAATTTTAATAATTAAATTTAAAAAGAAAGATATCAAAAAATAAAAAAATTCAAGCAATAGATTAAACTATATATATATTATTCTCTCATGAAACTTTTAACTATAAATAAAACTCATAATCTAATTTGAAAATAAAAGGAGAAAAAATAATTTTGTTTTACGTATAATACAAAATAACAACTATTAAAAATGTCGGTAGATTTTTTAACGAAATAATAAAAGGCTTCTCTTTTTTTTACTTTAAATGAATTCAAAAATCATAATTTTCTAATAAATATTAAATTATTTTAATTACATTGAAAAGTAATTATAAATATTAAAGTATTTATATCTAAATACTTAAACCAAATAATAAAAAGAAAAAAAATGAAAAAAAATAGGAAAACAAAATAATGCTAGTGGGAGGAATCGAACCCTAGACCTCAAGGCCAAAACCAACTTCATACCTTACCTTTAGCCATTGCACCACCTAGCACTCTACTCCTCTTTCGATACATTAAGTTCTATTATCTGTTTTTCCTGCGCCGTGTAGATTCAAATATAGCGCCTTTTTAAAGGGCACTATACCTTAACGCGCAAACGCCCGTTAAGGTATATCGCCCTTTAAAAGGGAGTTATATATAAAAAGGTTACTATTTTTTTTCCCCACACATTTTGGTTCTTTGAGTCCAAAAGAACCACATTTTGGTTTCGAACTCTGTATTTACTATTCTTGTGTGACGACTAACGATAATCTATAGACAAACAATCTATTAAGCATAAGTATATACTTATACTTTTGTATAAGTAAATTGTATACGGGTGAACTCGGGCTTAGCACACATCCCGACTTCTCGGTAAGCCAAACGAAGTAAGAAGTATGAACGTATGAGATAGAGACCGAATCTGAGAACTCTTTGAATCGAGCTGGAACGGGGTACTCGCCACCAGGCCTGACAAGACAACACTCCCTGAATCCGAAACGAGCTCCAAGACCTCGGAAAGCACTACAAACGCTTGCACATGACTAATATAGGGCCGTGATATCCGCACCCAATCGGATATCTCAGCGCGGATCTCGCCCGATATCGATAGTGTATCAGTGATTGACGTGAAAAGAGCATTTTTACCTTTTTTAGAATTCTATTAGGGATGAAACTCTCCTACTATATAAAGAATTTTTTTTTATTCAATAGACACATTGTAATACACATATCAAGGTAATACAAACTTACTTCTCTACTTTTTTAGCTATTGAAAAGTCATTATTTTAATCACTGTTCTTTAAATATATTTGGCTTCGTATCGAGGGCTCGGTCGAGGACAAAACTATTGTTCAACTCAAGTTTGAGCTCGGCCTTAACATTGCAACTAGTTTGGTTATTCATTTTATCTTTAATTTGCTTATCTAACATTCTTGATTACTTGTGTTGAATCAATCTACGTATCGCTAAAATCGCGTATAAATTCAATTATTATCCGTTTTAAGGGTAAACAGTTTCGCGCTCACCGTGGGAATAAGGATAATAATGGTGGTTTGATACAAAATCTCCATAACACACTCTATTTTATATTTGTTCTTTGAGGTCTCAATTTCAGATCAGCATAAAAATATCAAATTCTCAGTGTGCTCACTTGAACGTTGAAGCTGAATCTAGCCATCATGGCAAAAACAACAATCTGGTGCCTAGCAACGAGGTGCCTCTTGCTAATCCCAACGGAGTCCCAGTTGCATACCCAATCGATGCTAACTCGCGGGTGGCCATCGACGCCAACTTGCCTACTGATCTTGAGAACAACGTTCCCGGAGGAGCCCGACCAACAGCTCGAGGAGCGCCTGAAGGCGAAGGCGACGAGGTTAGCCTACGGTTAATCTTCGAAATGTTGCAGGCTCAACATGCAGCGATAGCACAACTGCAAAATCAAAGTCTCTCCCCCAGCAGAGTTGAGCCCGAACCGTCCCAGGAAAACACCCGAAGAAATGAGCAGATCACCGAAAGACCGGGTGAAGTTAAGTCCGGTGTTATTCTCGAAGTGATTAAGATGCTGGATGCATTAACGAAACGGGTAGAATCAGTGAAAAGAAAATTGAGGCAAATGACAAGAAGGTGGAAACATACAATTCTAGGGTCGATCAAATCCCGGGAGCACCCCCGATATTGAAAAGACCAGATTCCAAGAAACTTGTCAAAAAGCCTTTCCATCCGAGCGCGGCACCAAATCCAATCACGAAGAGGTTTCGTATGCCTGATATTCCAAAATATAATGGAACCACGGATCCGAATAATCATGTGACCTCTTACACATGCGCCATCAAAGGCAACGACTTGGAATACGATAAAATCGAGCCGGTGTTACTAAATAAGTTCGGGGAAACTCTTTCGAATGGAGCAATGATATGGTCCACAACTTAGCCCCAAATTTTATTGACTCATTCGATATGCTAGCGGATGCTTTTGTGAAGGCTCATGCCGGAGCTATCAAGGTCGAGACGAGAAAATTGAACTGTTTCAAGGTTAAGCAAAGAGACAACGAAATGCTCAGGGAATTCGTGTCAAGGTTTCAAATGGAACGGATGGACTTGCCTCCGGTTTTGGATGATTGGGTCATTCAGGCATTCACTCAAGGACTTAACCCCCCGAAGCTCCTTGGCTTCACAGCAGCTAAAACAAAATTTGATAGAGTACCTAGCGGTAACTTGGGCCGACGTTCACAACAGGTACTAGTCAAAAATCAGAGTCGAAGACGGCCAGCTCGGGGCCCCTTTTTGGTCTGTTTATACCATCATAATAGATGACAGGTCTAAGAGAGTCATCGATCATGAATCAAGGTCGGTCCGAGATCGGTATCAGCCATATAGCGGATTGAAGGGGAAACGGGCCCGAGCGTAATTCTACAAGGAAGTAAAAGAGAAGCGATCAAGGGCCCAATAGCCGAGGTCTGATGAGCAAAAATGGTTTCACAGGCCGCTTGGGGGAAGGGAAGCACCAAGATTATCAGATTATAACTTCAATGTCGATGTAGCCAGCATCGTATCAACTATTGGGCGCATCAAGGAAACTAAGTGGCCTCGACCATTGCATTCCGAACCTACCCAGAGAGATCCTAACCTAATGTGTAAGTATCATGGCACTCATAGCCACAGGACCGAGGACTGTCGACAATTGAGAGAAGACCGGGCACCTCCGAGAATTTTCTGAATGATCGAGCAAAAACCCACTTCAGGAATAGGGACTCCAATAAACAGACCGAAAAAGAAGAACCTCAGCACATCATCAACATGATCATTGGAGGGGTCGATGTCCCCCAGGGGCCAATGATAAAGCTCATTAAAGTATCCATCACGAGGGAAAAATTCACCCAAGATTACATCCCGGAGCGAACCATTTCATTCCACGACGAGGATGTCGAGGGTATCATACAACCTCATAATGATGCACTAGTGATATCTGTACTTATCAACAAATCTCGAGTTAAACGTGTGTTGATTGATCCAGGCAG